CAGCTTCTCGGATGATTTGCTCAGCATACAGATTGAATATGTATGGTGAAAGAACACAACCTTGTCACACACCTTTCCCAATTTTAAAACATTCACTGTTTCCATGCTCTGTTCGAACAACTGCTTCTTGGTCCAGGTCCAGATTTCTCAGAAGTACATTTAAGTGTTCTGGAATACTCATACTTCTCAATGTTAGACATTACCTACCCAAAATAGAGTAGCTACAAATGCAAGAAGTGGCTGGCTTACAAGCTTTCAAGAGGGAGCCAAGTTCTAGAATATGCAGGGGAAGGTAGAATCTCCACTGAGTGGTTTCCAACCAGTCTGGATGGGACAGATGAAAGGAGATGGGGATAAGACTCATGTGGTTCAATAGTGAATAATTGTATTAAATTGTATTAAGGTGCAATGTAAGCAGTTGAGAACTTGCTCCAGTCTCCAGAACAAAGTGGAGTTGACTAGAAGAGATGCTTTGGGCCCTGGGTTTGTATTGTGGCACCTAATACTTCTGGGAGTTGATAGTGTAATAGCCCACACCACTAGAGCTAATGCTCCAGGAGCCTACACCATGGGTGCCCCGGCTACCAGAGGTGTTGGAATTGGAAGGACTGCAGTGTGTGCTCTTCAGGGTGTTTAAAGCCCGCTTCCCACTGTAGGGGGCACTACTGTTGCTGCCAGTCACTGGCCAGGATCCTGATGCACTGAGGTCCCTGCAGACAACTCTGCCTTGGGAGCTGCTAACACCTGCAAACCCCAAAGCCTGAGTCAAAATTTTGGGAACAGATCATCCTGTGTCTCAAATGACTGCCCCTCCCACCACAAACCCTCAGCTCTGAGGATTAAAAGTCAGGAACTTATTTTAGTTGACAACTCCAGGTCCATCTAGTCTCAAAAGCTGTTGGGTCTTTCCTGCTGTCTGTCCCCAAATACTGCCTGCTGTAATGTTGCCCCACTCTTAAATTTAGGTCTCAGTGAAACCACTTCTCGCAGACTCTTCCCTCCCTCACAGTAAACCTTTCTACAGGACCTAAATTACTTATGGACATTCAAGGCTTCAACGCCTTCACACAGTCTGGAGGCAGAAGAAGAAAAGGATGACATTAGTGACTTCGCCAGATTTCCCAATGGAGCTCCCAGAAGTCTTAGGGGAGGGTGGGTCCACAGTGGCTAAGCTGGTAGGACCACAGGGTCTGAGGGAACAGTCATTCTGTATTAGAATAAATATTAGTTCCCACCCACCCCCCCACACACAGTTTGCTCAATAAGGGAAAGGGTAGGGTTTGTGCAAGGGATTTTTGCTGTGCGCTGTCTAGATTATTCGAAATCAAAGTGATCATATAGGACAGAGTAGAACTCCCCCCTAGACATTCCCAGAGTCCCGGTGTAGCATTGTGGCTTAACGCATTGGACTGCAAAGTCGATTTGAATTGCAAGGTTGGCTCCTTGGAAACCTTATACAGGGTCACTATGGGTCAGAACAGACTCAATGGCACTTAACAGTAACAAATAGACATTCCTAGGTTGTAATTTTTATGGCAGCAGATCACCAGCATATTATTCCCAGCAGAGCTGTTGGTGGATCCCAACTGCCGACCTTTCAGTTAGCAGCAGAGTGCTTAACCGTCACACCACCAGGGCTCCTTTGTGCAAGAACTAGGGATGGCAACTCTGGGTCAGACAAGGTTGGGCCACACTTGTGTTCCTTGGCCTCCAGCAGGCACCGGTATACGGCAATCTCAATGTCCAGGCACAACTTGGAGTTCATCACCTCACCTCCTGATACTCACTGAGTAGGCTGGCCATGCCCTGCTTGGCCTTCTGCAGGGCGATCTCCTGCCCAGCAAGCTTGAATCGGGTATCACTAAGGGCTGCCTCACCCTGCTGCTCAGATGGGGATACTGTGGCCTCCAGTTGGAAATTCTGGGGAAGAAGAGAACAAGATAGAATATAGTTCCTGGGTCTCTCTGTCCATTTCCTGGATTAGCTCAGTTTCTACCACCCAACTGGGAACAAACCTCCCAGGACATGCCCACACTCCTTTGTCTCTTGGGTCTTTCTTAGTGGCCACAACCAGAGAGGCTAGTCATGTAAACGAGCTGGGGGATGAATGGGGATGTTTTATAGGCACTGACTGTTTGGCCTGGGAAGGCCTTCAACATCTTGGGTCTTAGGCATGGGCTGACCCATACCTGGCCCTTGGCATTCTCCACCTCAGCCATCAGCTTCTGAACCTTGAGGTTGAGCTCATTGGGCGGTGCATGGTCTCCCTGTGCTGGATGACTGTGGTCTTCATCTCCTTGCACTGCGGGGGGAAACAGGGAAGCCCATCAAGATAGCAGGAATGATGGTGCAGGTTGTCCAGTGCTCAGCCTGCACAGCCTCACATGGCAGTTCTGACTGTGCCTCCCCAAGGAGAGTTGTCTGTCCTCCCCTTATCCATCACTAGGGAAGGACCCTCCACACTGTCTAGTGCATCAGAATCCACAGTCAAAAGAAAACTTTTCTACTCTATGCATCTTGTCACTGACCTGGCTAGAAAGCAAGTTCCATCAATTACTCACCTTTCTGTGGTACCAGCACTCAGTCTCAGTCCTGCTTCGGCCTTGATCTCGGCGATGATGCAGTCTATGTTCAGGTTTCAGCTGTTGTCCATTTGGAAAATGACTGAGGTATCTGAAATGTGGGAGTGGAGAACCTGGAGCTCTGACATGGATTGGGGTGGAGGAAGGGAGACAGCAGAAATTTTAGAACATAGCCCCACCCACCAAAGACTGACCCAATCTTTACAGCACCCCTGGTCTCCAGTATCTGCCCCGGCTGTGAGCATCACAGACTACAGCTCCCAGCCAAACTCCTGTCTGACACCTCAACACTAGGCGTGAGTTCGTCTCCTCCAGACAGGTTTCCAGGGTTTCTGTTTCTGCCACCTCACCAACTCATACAGATGTCACAGGAAGTCAACCTTCTGTTTCAGAGATGCCACATTGGCCTCCAGATCTGACTTGTAAAAGGTAGTCACAGTCCACCTCCTGTGTAAGAATGAGACATGATAGACTCTAGGAGTCCATTGCAGCTTTGGAACGTCATTTTTTCCATCCCCCTGTCTCTAGGCAGAATTTACCTTGACCATCCTAGACAACCATGAGTCTCACTGTCCTGAGCAACCTGGCCCCAAGCACCCATTCATTGCATCTTAACATCCAAGACAGCGCCTCCTGATAAATAAGTCCTCCAATTTACTATGACCAAATCCCTTTTAATGGATCTGGGAGTCAGAAAAGAGAGATTTTAATTTCCTCTAAATCACCCTGTCTCCAGATTTTTACTGTCCTCTTCAGTGTCACCAGGATCTTCTATTATACATTGACCGACTGCACAGGAGTCATGTGCCATGAAACAGCCTCCATGTTTATCTGAATTTGCTTATCCTTCACCTTCCAGGGTCCCTGGGGCTCTCTGACTCCTGTTTTTGGTTCAAAGCTCAAAACAATCCTTTCTCAAATCATTATAACCCTGACATTGGACATTAGCCCTTGTAATAGCCCCTCTTCCTCCTATGTTGTCCCTCACTCTTGCCGGGCCTTCTCCTCACACCACAGGAGGCTTGGTCTCGGACTCCCCCTCCTCTCACTATTTCTGGCTTTTGAATGGATCTACAGGTCTGGTCCTGAGTCCCTGAGTCAGTGTCCACATTAGCCTGGATACCTCTGAGGCAAATGTCCTTGGGGACTTTCCATACTCATAGTGCCCCACTTGGCCTCTGGACACAGAGCCACAAATTGATTCTCTGCTGTAGCCCTCAGAGCCATGTCCTCCTCGTATCTGACATCGGGAGAGGGAAGAAGAAGACATTAGGTTTCTCTCAGGTCTCTAGAGAAGGCTCTCTCAAGAGACAGGGATGGAATCTGAGTGAGATTCCTTCTCCTGAGCAGACTGGGTCCTGCTTTAAGAGGGGTTTCCACCTTGCTTCTTCCACCACCTCCTTCTTTGGAAGGAGGCCCAAAGTTCATGTTTCCCAGGCCCATGGAAATCCTCCACAGACTTGTGGCTTAAAGTTCATGCAGAGTATCAACATTCTATTAAATTCTAGGTTTCCTGAAGGCCTCATACAAAATACCTGCTCCAAAAACACTTGTGCAATATTGCATGGGCTTTGTCAAACCTCTCTAAGGAACAAATCTCTTGCAAAGATTCAGATAATTCTTACTAGTCCAGTCATCATAATTTTGTTTTAATCTTCTGAATTCTCAAAATAGAAACCCACGCAAGTGACGAGGCCAAAGGATTGAAGAGTTTTGAGGAAGTCTGGGTACTCCAAGTGATGTCTGTTCAAACACAAATTCTGTAAATTTCTGTCTTCTGAGAAGTTGCATAGGGAAATTAACAAAACTCTGAGGTTTCAAGACTCCAACTCTAAACAGATACTGGCCTTCAGTCAATGGACAAAAAGTATTTGCAAGACTATATTATCTGGCCCAGAGGATACATACCTAAGCAGAACCACTGTCTGCTGCACTCATTTCTTCTTGTAGCCCTCCAGCACCTCCTGCACGGGGTTGAGTTCTGAGGCCATTCTCCCACTGTCGACCTCTAAATTGTCAGCCTCCTGCCTTAGCGTCTCAAACAGGGGCCCCAGGTTGCTCTCACGACACTTTTGGTTCTAGTAGAACTGCCACTTGATCTCCAGCAGTTTGTTCTGCTGCTCCAAGAAGCACACTTGCAATACGATGGGAGGAAGGGTCAAATTGTCCTGAACAGTTTTCAGGGATGGGGGTTTGCTGAAGTGCTAGCAACTCACAGCCCAGTGACTGGCTCACTGGTAGAGACTGAAAGTGGGTAGAAATTTGCCAAATAGAAACTGAACATACTCTTGGTTTTCCCAAAGAGAATTCAACAAATTATTGAGTAATATCTGATTTTGGATTCAGAGAGCCACCAATAGGCTATTAGACAACATCTAGATGTTCCAATAAATATGTGGAGTTCCAAATGATAGCACAGAGTAACTAAGGAATAGTACTAAAATTGTAAAGTAATGAAGGAAAAACTTATGATTCTGCTTTTTTGAGCAGATTTATTCAGGTATTGAGGTCCTCAGGAATGGGATAAAATGGATCTAGACCTATCAGAGATCCTTGAAGCCAAGTGAAGTCAGAAGTTTGATTAAAGGTTGACCTTATCCCTCAGACCAGAAGAAACCCCTCATAGCTAGTGGTAAACAGGAATAGCATCCCTGGGGACTGTGCAGAAGGAGCTCAATATCTTATTGTCTTTACCTTCTATCTTGGTGATTGCAGAATCAAAAACCAGCTTATTGGTGCTTTAATTATTTCTTTGGGGTTCAGGTGTCTCTTCCTTTTCATATCTCCTCAGAACTAAGAGCTCAGGACACATCATGGTCTTAGGGTGATATCTGAATTTAGGGATTCTGGAACAGCCCTTGCCTGAGGGTGCTGAGTATATAAAGTGACTTTCTTATTAGATTGGCACCTCTTGCCTTTCCTTGGCCCTGTGTGTCTCATTCATCAGATTGGGTGGTGGGAGGCGGTGAGATATATTGTGATTCTGTTACATTCTCTGTGTGTTTTACTTGATTTATGAGGCTATATATAATGACTTCATCTTCTTCATTGGAGTTTCTAGCTCTGTTGTTTCCTCCATCAAACGGAGAACTCTATAGGCAGTTTCCTGACTCTGAGGTTGTACCTCAATGTCTAGCGTGAATTCTGAACATGGGTTGGTGT